CTTTGGGGTGCACACAATGTCCGTCATTCCTTTTCTTTTTTCTTTTTTCTTTTTTTTTGGACATTTTTGCCCATGAAGCCCTTATGGGTTTTTGTCATGTTCATCTTCTTTGCAGAGGCGTGTTTAAAGTCATGCCACTAGGACCTGGGCTATGGTTTTGGGTTGCATAGCGTGGACAGTTTTGTGAAGCAATTTAAAGTCATGCGGTCAGGACGTACACTATATTTTAGGGTTGTTTAGCTTGGACTGTTGTACAAAGCAGTTTAACATCATGCAGTTAGGATGTGGGCTATAGTTTAGGGTTGTATAGCTTGGACCATTGTGCGAAGCAGTTTAACGTCATTCGGCCGGACGTGCGCTATAATTTAGGGTCATATAGCTTGGACCGTTGTGCGAAACAATTTAACGTCATGCGGTCAAGACGTGCGTTATAGTTTAGGCTTGTTTAGCTTGGACCGTTGTACGCAATAATTTAATATCATGCGGCTAGGACGTGTGCTATAATTTAGGGTTGTATAGGTTGGATCGTTGTGCGAAGCAATTTAACGTCACGCGACCAGGATGTGCACTATGGTTTAGGGTCGTATAGTTTGGACCATTGTGCGAAGCAGTTAAACATCATGCAGTCAAGATGTGCACTATAGTTTAGGGTCGTATAGCTTGGACCATGGCTAAGCAGTTTAGGGGCTTGCAGCACGGACCATGGCTAGGAAATTTAGGGTCTTGCAGCACAGACTGTGTGTGGTACTGGATCACGTGTGGAATCAAGCCCCAAGTTTAATTTCCCCTTGTCTATGAAATTTTGGATAATGTCTTTGGTGGCCCGACACTCCTCGATCTTGTGGCCAAGCCTTCTATGATATCGACAGTAATCGGGCTTATCATCCTTTCCGACTTCTTTTGGTCTTTTTGGTATGGGTAGCTCGACCATCCCTTCGGATATGAGGGTCTCAAGCAAATTGGGGACAATGCACTTGTTGAAGGAATAACTCTTGAGCCAGTTTTGCATGGTATTTTCCATGGAACCTGATGACTGATCATCATCCTTGACCAATGCGCATGTTGAGACTACATCACCAATTAGTCGATTGGCTGCAGGATACTATTCAAAATATCATGTCACCCTTCTTCCGAGGAGGCCATACTTAGGGGACCTAGGTATAGGACCACGTTGGGACCTAACAATAATCGTAGGCCTACATACAGAGTGTGTATTAATGTGCATAGATCATGCTCTGTGGGAATGTAAAAGGTCCGCACATGACCGAGTATTAATGTGGACAGAGCATGCTCTAAATGGCCTTTCATGGCTTGAATAGCAATAATCTCTCATTTTGTAGGAGCGATTGAGAGATAGAATCTGGGTGCCTTACGAAACGTGGCCCAGATTCTTATACCTTGAATACTTGAAGCTATGAGAATTTTACGTTCCAGAAAGCAATTTCTCAGGGTGGTGTGAGGGTCATCTCCTAGTCAAGATCTTGTTTATATTAGCTTCATGATTATTGTGATTAGCCAGGGTTTGGAGTATCCAATCGAGTACAATTGAACTTGAGTATTTTTTTTTGAGTGATGGCCCTATATAAGATGGTCATGACTTATGGAACATAAGTTCGTAACCTGACAAGAGACCATTTTATGGCATATGTACTAACGTTCGCATTGAAAGCCACTCGTCCAAATCTATTATCCAAGTTTGGAAGAGCCAGTGCACATGTGCTTTGAGAGGACCCATGTACTTATATTGGAATATGTACTTGTATTGGAATATATCCCAATGGGGTGCATCTATAATCCATCAAGAGTTGGATGATGGGAAGCTTTGGCTTAGTGAATTTTATGTGACCAATTATTTGACCTTGTCATAGACTGTAGGGCATAGGTCCATTGGGTCAGCTTAAGACACCGGCGGAACATCATTCGAGACTAGCCCAATAGAGTACTCTGATACCTAGAGTCGAAGCCATGAGACCTCACTTACCTTTTGTCCAATTTAATTATGATAAGAAATGATGAATAGATATTCGTAAATATTTTAAATATTTATTGTGAATATTAGAGAATTTTTCATTGACAAAAATGTACTTTTAATATTTTTTTAGACCTAATTCCATTTGAGGATTGCCATGTGGCGCACCCGAGTAGCCATAGGGCGGTCGCGTGGCATCCTTAGCCCCACCATAAGATTTACGCTCAGTTGGGTGCTAATCCCAAGGTGGGGGATGTGGATGTCATATATTATTTTGTTATGTTGTTATATATTGTTATTTCACTTGTTATATTATGTTATAACTTAAGGTACATTTTTGTCATATGTATATTTGATTCACATTAGTGCTTTTGTTGGCATGTGTGAGGTTCATTTTAATTTAATTTAAATATTGAGTCCATGAAAATTTGATTATTGAATTTGAATTTAAAAAATATCTTCACACGTGTGTGAAGGGGACATTAAGCTCATTGTGGTTGGTTTGAAATATTAGATCTATAAGGTGATGGACTTTCATAAAAATGCACATTTCCACATGTGTGAGTTTTACCATTTACTTTATTGCCCATTGCCCTTGATGGATCTCTACACTATTTGATTATTTAAAACTAAGGGTTCTAGTGCAAGGGCAAGTTGAATTCACTTTGAATAAAAATATGGACCTAAGGATAAAAAGGTAAAGCGACTTTACTTAGGATTTAATGTGGGTGATAATGGTGCTAAATCCTATCCCTTTATCCTAGTGGTTGGATGAAGATGGATGGCTAGGGTATATTGGCCTCTCATGTGCCTTTGGATATATCCAGATTTATACACAATGTATATATATACTTCTTTAAGTCCCAAACTGTACCCACATGACAAAATTGATATTGCGTGAATTGAATAGAGAGAGAAAGAGAGCAGACCTTGAGATCTCCTTATACCACCAATATCCCTTAGAGAGGTTTATCCTCCATTGATGATCTTTGAAGCTTGATGGTAGTCCTTCACTCCATAAAATCAAGCTTATCGCATACCATGATCAAGGTATTATCCCTCTAAGTTATTTTATATCAAAGATCATTTTATCCTTGATCAACGGTTCTTGGAAATTTCATTTACAATCATGTTTTAGCTTCCTTAGACCTCTATTTTGATGTTATCTTCGTATCATTCGTGTGATCCCTCACTTGCTTATGTGTTTTATGCATTAATAAACCTTTGATCATGCAGAGTTTCCTTTGATATACCTTGCACAAATTCTCTTAAGTATTTATAAGTCTTGTTATTCAAATTCTAGAGATATTTACATTATCTTAGAAGTGTATTTGCTCATTTAGAGTTGGAACTTTTGCAAGAAAAGTTGTTGTGGTGGACTATTTCAAGTAGTTTTGCTCTATCTTGCTCCATATTGATTTGATTTGCTTAATTCTTCTTGCAAACTGTTTCAAATCAATTTTGTGGGTTCTAAGAAGTGGTTTTAAAAGTGTAAGAACTTCCTAATTGCAATAGACGTCCTTGATATTACAAACCACTCTTGCACTATTTATTGGGACAAAAGTAAGTCCCTAAAAGGCTTGAATTTGTGGCCCGAGCACAAGGGGTTCGAATCATGGCTTCCTACATTTTGTATGCATGTTTATTTGTTGTTTTTACAGTTATTAAATTATTCATGGTTGAAGAAATCATGTTTGTTAAGTGAAAAATAGAGTTGTGCTTTTAATATTGTAGTATGAGCTTTAACGTTATGCTTTATTGTTTATATAAATTGAAATCTCATTAGATCATTATGATAAAGTGTATGATGTACATGAGACATTGTGATATATGATGATGATGAAAAATGAAGAGAGTTATCGTGGAATTTTTATATAACAATGAATTTTAAGTACAAGTCATGTAATATGTTGAGTTTAATTGTACTTTTGAGTAAGGGATTTGTAAGGGACCTATTAGGATTGAATTTTTATTATTTAAATGAGTACAAACCAATCTTGTAGGCTAGATTTTATTTATTAGAATTTTGTATTGAGATATTCATGTATTTAAACCCTTGAGTTTTAATACAATGGAAATTTTTTAAATATTGTGTATCTAGCCACTTGGTCTTATAACACCAACATTTGGGAGTATTAATATGCATAGAGTACATTGTTGTGGGAACACGTAAAAGGTTGGCATATACCGTGGGAATAGATGGGTACAACAACTCTGTAAAAGGTAGACATATGTGTCCTCCCGCAAGAGCATAACATACTATAATGACATAGTGACATGATATCATTCCCCTACATTTAGTTATAGTAGGATACTCATACATACAAGTCTTTTTTTAAGGTACTCAACATTTTTTAACACCTGATACCCTTACCTACCATATAGTAACTTTTTTATTCAAGGGTATTTTGGGTAATTAATTCAAGGTAAATTAGATATTCAAGATAGAAAGTGAAATATTTATAAATTATAGTAGAAGATGACATCATCTACATGAGGTGTGACATCACCCCATATGGAGCAATAATTGTTTCTTAACCACTAGCTAAATGTCAGCAGTTTCTCATAGATTTATCTATCTTACCGATCCTAGTAATGACAATGCCCTTACTAAAAAAAAAAATTGTATTACAAAACAAAGGGCAATAGGTGCCAAAAAAATACTGATTACATTAAAAAAATATTCATATATATGAGTACCCAACACACATGACAGATCATCCTTGGACAATAGTGAGTGGATGTTGGATCTGAATACTTGTTCTAGACTAGTACAAAGTATAGAATTCAACTCAAACAAATATAGTCCACTCAAATAAGTCCCAATGTATCCATTTGATTAAGTAGGGGGCTGCTACTCAGATTTAACAAAACTGGGTTGTTTTTTAGTATATGAGCTTTATTGCAAACTTGTTATGAATAAAAGCCATGTCTCTGAGAAATCTCCCCCTTAGTTCAACAACAGTCCATAGATTACATATGAACATCCACACAATGTCAACCCATGAAAGAAGAAGAAAAATATGAAAGCTTATAGTGGCCTTATGGTGACCTCAGCACGCAAATAGAGCATGCCTGTCATGAAGTAAGGGTTGTCATCAGCTAAGAATGCTGTCCATGGCATCTGAAAGAGGTTGCGATAACCAAACATCATATCCCCATTGAAGGTGTGTGTGGCCTTTCCCTTGTTCACATAATCCCATGCCTCCTTCGACCATGCGCTAAACTTGAAGTCAACCGCAACATTGACAGAACCGCTCTTCACCATCCCTAAGAAAAGCGCGAAGCCTCGGGAGTTTTGCTCATCCAAGCTGCATTTGGCAGAGAGATAGAAACCAGTTCCCCTTAAATGAAAAACTTGCGACTCTACGTGTCCCTCTGGATAGAGGGCCTGACACTCAGCCCGGCTCAGGTTTAAGAACACAACACACTGGGGCGGCTCCAACTCTATCACCTTCACAGGACGAGAAGTGTAGGCACGCCCGTGTACATATCTGTGTTGGTGGTATGGGGTCTCTGACTTGAATAAGAGTGCGTCCAGAACCAACTTTGAGGCAGTGTTGTCGTCTAAGTCATTGCATATCAGCACCTCCCTGAGCTTGGGGGTTGTCATGTATGGGAAGCGGATGAGGCGGGCAATGCGCATGCTCAGGACCTTGCGCCGCTCTTCGAGGTCCGGGTACTTGGCACGCGCCCATTTGAGAAGGAATTCGAACACGGCATCCTCTGACACCACCTGCAACTCATTGCTTGATAGAACTGCCTCCATCCCCACCAAAGGCAACGTCATCACCTTCTCCTTTTGAGAACTACACGTGCAAACAAGACAAATGGAGAGGAGATTTCCATGAAGATCAAATATACATTAAGCAAACTACCCAGATCTTGTGTCATTCTTCACGAAATAGAAAGTTCTTTGAAAGTAAGCAAATCCACGTATGTCAAAGGAGAAACATGATCAAAATATATTGTTTTATCTTACGATTTTTTTGTATAGAACCTCATCTCAAAAACTTAAGAAATTTATACCTCGCATGGAGTGGAAGTTTTTGATTTAGTGCTTTGGAGGTAGATGGCTATTTTACCACCCTTACCTTTTCGATGTTCCACATACAGATTGAAGTAGAATTTCTTATACTAATGAAAATGAGATAGATAGATAGAGAGAGAGAGAGAAAGGCCATTGTCATGCAGGTGAGCCTTGAGCATATGGTTCTTCCAGCCATGAAGGAAGCAAACCGACCTGGATCCCTCAATTTCCTCCGCCACAACTCTTTTAACCACAAGGTTTGAAAAGCAAATTGCTTGGATTCAATCATCCAGGTAAACTGACACAATACAATGGATTTATCAACCTCATTACATAATTGTTTCTCAATATATTGGTCACACAATCGAAAAGAAGGCAAAAAATCATGCAGCATCTTGTGGAATAAAACTGCAAATTGAATTGGAAGTGAGAAATCAACATCTCAAACACAATTAACGAAAGGGGAGGTGGAAATTGACATCTAGAACTCTAATGGAATTAATAAGATCCATGGAATGAATCTCATGTAAAATCCAATGCACTTGTTCACTCTCTATACAAGCAACATGAAAAGAAGCATAGAAGAAAAATATATGCTTCACATATGCACCAGCACATCTGTCAAGGAAAAGGAGTAGTAGAATGCTACTTTGCTTGGATAAATTCATCAAGGAACCTCTCCAAATCTTCAATAGCATATGCAGCCTTTGTACAAGAGGGAAATAGTTAAATTTTTCTTATTTGTATGTCTAATTTCTTATGGGTATTCAGAATTTGAAATATTTATGTGAATCATTTTCTCCTTTATGCAGGCCATGGAATAAAGAGGATTTGGTCACCAATGTCTGGGAACCTAATAACGTTGAGTTAAGCAACTAATAACATTGAGTTAATAGCATCAATTAATTAATAGGATCATTATAAGGTGAACACAAAAACTAAGTAATAGTTCTTGTCATCACATTTTTCCTTGAATTTAACACAATGAAACCAAAGCAGGCATTCAGTGAATCCATACTCAACTGGATCCAGTGAACCCTGCGTGAAATTACGGATCCAAAATTCCGGATCTAATGAACACTCTGTCAGACTCGGAATGAGTTTCTCCTCCAGTTAGGCATGTCCAGGTTTGATTACACCCTCATCTTGGAACAACTATTGCTTTTATGCATTGGATTATTTAGTCATAAGCTTGATATATATTTATTTGGTCATCATAATATCGATTATAAAGGAAAAGGTCATAATTTGGTCATTATAGGGAGCACACAATAGATCTAGTCATAGTGAGCAACTTGTTTATCCTATTTACTCCAGCTATGAAAGTACAACAACTCTTACTAGAAATATAATCTCAATTTGTTCCAATGGAACCTCTAACCCAAAGTTATGAAAATCCTAAGAATGCAATTATATATCCTATTCCAAGCAAGTTGTAAAAGTATGTGTGCCTGAGTCTAGGACTATACATGCTGCTCATCCAATCTGTCAAAATTGAATACAAGCCGTTGGGCTCTCAACCATTTGATCGAATTTGGATGGTCAGCACTGTGTGAAGCTATCAATTTAACTTTTTTCACAGATTGGATTGAGCTCAAATTTTAGGTTATAGGCGTCTAGGCCATCACATATCCAATAAAATATAAAAAATGGTTACCAAAAAAGACCAAAATATCTCTGCAATTTTCAGGGTATTGTGGTCATTTTATTTTTAAGAATTATTCTTACATTTATTTTAGGGGCATGATGGGTAGGTTAGGTCCACACAATGTAAAAACTTTAGCTCAATGTAATCTTCAATAATAATAATAATAACAAATAAACTTCATATACTGACACGGACTCCCTATCTTCACAGAGTGTGACAGAGATAGAGGGAGACTACTTTCTCTAGTAAAATCACCTAGAGAGGATCTATTTTAGTTCATTCGGAGTCCTAACCTAAACCAATCTGGAAGGCAAATCAAGGTGGCTACTATGTTCTCAAGAGGCTTCTTTGAGCATGTGGTTGAGAGAAATTTTTATAATGATTCACTGGAACTAGTTGTATCATGGAGGTATACACATCAAGATTCTATGGCATCTCAGAAAATGCAAGGCAAGGGCCTTTAATGTCTTGAATACAGTGGGAGCATCTCAGTCCCCTAGGTCCATTTGTTGAATCATAAGGTCAAGTTATATGCTTTAACAAATTTTGAGTTCTAAGCCCCATTCGAACATTGTCTTCATATTTTTGAAGTTCTAGCCTTGTGCTTATATACTCATTTTGATAAAAGAGTACAAGTTCCATGCTAAATTTGAACCCCATGTTCTCTTGCATTTGGCAGCTATTAAGGTGTTTACAGTTCTCACCACACTCTTAAGACCAATCCATTTTCGCCAAGAATAATACTCACTGGCTGTCTGGCAGCTAAGGTAGTACCCTGGTACTTGGCTATGAGGACCCAAAACCCAACATGATTTTTAATTTTTAGCTACGACCAGAGTAATGATTGATATAGTGCTACCTAACACACAATCTCCACAATAATTGTTGTCTCACCCAGTTAATCATAATTATTGCAACAAATTGTAGCATAGACTAATTCAAAGTTTAAACCTGAGTACAAAATTGGGATCTAGGATTTAGTATGATGTACAAAGATTTGCAAAGTATGCCTACGAGAAACATATAATGGGACATACTAAAAAAAACAACTTAGTTTGAAAATCTCAGGAACTATTCAAGATTTTGTAAATAATAAATAAATAAATAAATATATATATATATATATGAATGTTCTCAGATATCTTCTCAGTATATTAGTATTTTCAGGAGACATGCAAGATAGTTTGGAACTCATTTTACAACCGATGACTATGGATCCCAATAATTACGTAACTAATGCCATAGCCAGTTAAGGATGAATGAATTTAATGAACGAGAGAAATCTTACTGTGTAAACTGCTTGTAACATCTTGCAAGAGATTGCTTAGCTGCATCTATAAGATATTTGATTGCATTGGTTGTTTTGAAAGGAATCTCAAGGTATGCTAAGGCACATTCTGGTGTCATTGGAAGATTACGTAGTAACATGCAGCAATGTTGCACGCAAGATGATACCTCAAACCTGTCAGCAGTTACCAGCACATCGAGCAATGCTGGACTAGTGGTAGCTGATAGCATCCCACTGTACACAAAATTCAGCATATCCATGAAGGGAATTTCCTCTGTTCCAAATACAAAGAATCTTGGGTTTAATGTTGGTTTAGTTTTGCTCCACTGGCTTTCAAAGACAATAAAAGATGTCCACAATTACTATTAACATTCACATCTCAATTATATTTTGCCATATAAATTATCAGATTTCATGAATTAACATAGCCAGATGGACAGAGGAATGAATTAGGAACAACCCAAAACAGCACAAACCAAACAAGTAGTATATTTTTCCCACCATTTTTTACCTTTTAACATTTGTCCAAATCCTTATTAATCCTTTTAGTTATCCTAGACAGTAAATCAAATTTCTAAACAGGTACAAAATTTCATCCCAAATAGATACAGGAAAATATCAATAACAACCACCCATTTCCAATTCCTAAAAGTTTAATGCTACTGGTGAGCTTCATTCTAATAATTAAAAGACAAAAGTTGAAATATACAACTCCCTTTGATAATTCTGAGGTGTGATTGATAATTCTTTCTCAAAAGGATCTCTTGACTTTTATTGAGCTTACCTGTTTCGCTGATTCGTATTGTCGCTTCTCTCTTTTCTGATTCTTTTTGGAAACACTGCAAACACAGGTCAAGTGTTGATGGTTTTATCCCTCAATTAAAAGTGAATAAACAAAATGAGAAGTATAGTTTTATCTTACCTTGTAAAAGAAAGGGCTTTTAGCAGCCAAAAGGGCAGATGTGATGTGCAACAATTTAATTTTTGTAACAGTATGAGAATCATTGTTGTGTGCTGCTTCATCTTCAACCATGAAAAAATAAGGAGTGAAAAATGATGATTCAGGAAAGGAATGGCAATAAAATTCATTAAAAAAAAAAAAGAAAGAAAAAAAAAGATAGACGAAGAAGAAGAAAAGAAATATTATATTTTCAACAAAATCAGTAAGTATTCTATTTGTAGCCCATAAAAATCACGTTTTCGATTAAACTATGTATTATTTGAGATTTCCATAAAAAAGGTTAAATTTTACTAGGTAATCTGAAATTCAAAGAGTGTTTTCTAGAAGTTCAGTTAATGGGCCATTGGAAAATAGACTTGAAGATTTAAATCCGGCAAAGAGTGGCTCTTCAAAACTATTGCAGTAAATTCAAAACCTGTTGGATGTTTATAAGAATTTTTTCCCAATTTATAATATAAAGTGGAACAAAAAAAAAAAAAAAATCATCAATATAAAGACTTCTCCTTATGAGATCGTTATTTCCATTTTTTCAAAGCAGAAGGCTTGAAATTTAATATGGCTGTTATAGAATATAAAGGACCTCTGTGAAAGGAGGATCCATATTGGAGGTATGGCTCAAAGATGAGAACAACAGATAGTAATATGAAGTTTCTCTTCAGTGGTAAATTTACAATTGTCATTTCCTTCTATCCACCAGTGGTTGATCCCCAACAGAGTATGCAGTTACATTACCACCACTTGGCATAGTCCTATTCTTCTAAGGGTTAAGCATTGGATGGACAATTTATTTATGTAACATTCCGAGCAAGAATCAGACCAAATCCTCGAAAATGTGGCAAGAAGGTTGAGAACTGCTTTACGGCCATCAGAAAAATGGTGTTTCTAGCTAGAACAAGCAAGATAGTTAAAGAGCTTGCTGATAAATATGGTGGGTGCTACTCTCAAATGATTTTCCAATATAACATTGACTGGAAGTACATGTTCAGGTATTAATGCTGATTTCAGTCCTGTGGAAGGCCAAGAGTGGTGAGAAAGTATGCATTCTTGTCAACATTCCTTAAAACCAACCTGCTCTTGGTAAGCTATATATCGATGCTGGTCGATCCATAGTGTTACTAATGCGGAAGAAAACTTATTGCAATGTAATGAAGATACTACTGAAAGGCACCATGTGATGTGAAACCAAGATCAGAAAGACCCCAACATTTCATGTTGGTGCAATAACAGGAGTGAACGAAGACAACAGAAGATGCAACAGTATATATTGCTAGAGTGGTGAAATACCCAGACAAAAGGCAACAAAATTGGAGGTGGAGAGAAGAGAATTGCGAGCTTTGGAAGGTGTCGTGTGCAAATAATGCAAAAGATCACACAACTAACACAAAGGTGAAATCAAAGAACAATTGCCTTGACTACATATAGATATTGCCCATCATTCTTTTGGGTGGGAGAGTTAGAGGTCAGCTCGCTAGCTTGAGTATAAGAATTCTTAGGATGACTTGAGAATCTATTTTCACTTCTAATTATAAAATCTCAACTCTTAAAAATAGTACAAATCAAGTCAACCTATTAGCACTTGAAAATCTTGAAAATGGATGGTCCACATAATGTGTTGCAAGATACACTGATTTAGGACTCCACATGTTTTTTTCTTTTTATATTCATACATCTCGATGTCGAGATGGTCTATTAGAGGGCTTTCCAACATCAAAACAACCTTTTATAATGGAATTTTTTTATGTGCACCTTAATCCTACATCTTAAGGTTACAATCTTATAAAAACTTTTTTTATAATAAAAATTTGAAATATTTAAGTCAAAAAATTTAAGTTCTAAGTCAAAGGTGAGACAGGGCATTTCAACCCTTTCTTTTTGGTCACTCAACTATCCCATCCATTGGGATCTCTCAAGCATTCCATTTCCTCTCTCTCATTAATCTTCTTCTGAAGTTATAGGAGGAGATCCCTTACTAGAATCTTTGTCATCCTCCCCTTCTAGAAAGACAGGGACAATAGAGTGGAGGGATAGACAAAAAGGAAGAGAGGGATTTTGGCAATTGAGAAGGGTGATGTTGATAAGGGAAGAAAATGGATTCCCGACCTTGACGATTAGGGTGGCAGTCTAGACTTTCGTTCTTACCATGATTTCAAATTAACATTAAAAAAAAAATTGTCAGTGGATGTGGCTTGTGGTGAGAAAACAAACTATACTACATGGGGATGTATAAATGTGCATTAATTATATTTGTAATAGTATGATGAGTACGGCGCACTTTTACATTTTTGCCAAAAAAATGTAGTTCTAGTGTCATAAATCTTACAATGATTTGAAAATCTATATTTAACTTTAATTATAAAATTTCCAAATAAAGTACTAATCAAGCAGATTTATAAGTATTTATTAATCTTAAAAATAGACCGTCCAAATAACTTGTTACAAGATGCAATATTTTAAACATTTAAAATTTTTTTTTTTAATACTATGAGATAACCAGTGTAGAGAGCATTATCACATTCTTCGCACTTTAGTCGAAGAGGCTGAAATCTTCAAATAAAAAAAAATATATATATATAGCTGCAAATACCTCCTGTTATTGAATTTTGAGTAGAGGAGCTTCCAATAGAGAGAAAGTAACCTGTATAAAAAAAAACATGTCATTAAAGAGGAGTTATCTATCGCTGGAGAGTAAAGAGAGCTCAATGAAAAACAGTAAGTTGCATCTTATGGTCCTATTTAATGGCATACAAGTAGATAGTATTGCTGATTTATACACAATAAGTAACTGATGTGGAGTGTTTATTTGTGATATATTGAGTGTACATAAAACCCTAAATATTGTGAGTGGGAGTAAGACCCTAAAAACTTGCTTTTCCCCATCTCCAGTGGCCCAATGGAATTCAACTCTTTGTATGTATAACACTAGAATAAGTTGTGTGTATATGGCAACCCTTCAAATTCAAAGATTAACATTAGAATTGAAAGTTAGATTTGCTAAAAGAAAAAGTTTATACAAGATTGTAACCTTAATATGTATAATTAATGTGCACCTTAAAAATCCATTTGAAAAATATTGTTTTGATGTTGAAAACTTCTAATTGATCATCTTGAAATCGAGATATATAAATATGAAATAAAAAATATTTCGAATCCAAAAGATAGTGCATCTTGCAAGACATTATCTGGACTATCCATTTTCAAGATTTTCGTATGTTTATAGATCTACCTGATTTGAACAATTTTTGAAGTTTAAAGATGTAAATAGATACTCCGGCCCTTCTAAGAGTTTTTTATACTGAAATTATATCTTATGATAAAATTTAAAGTGCCCTTTACTTTAATGGATTAAAGTTGCAACCTCATGCAAACTAGACCTTTACTAAATACATGGTTTCTAAAAAAAATTGTGGGTAACTTGCTCATTGAGTAAGGGCACGTGTGTGGTTGAAATTTTCAAATAAAAGTCAAGGGTATTTATATTTGTAAAGTTTGGTGGTAGTAACTTCAAAAATATAATTGTTCTAGTACAAATATTTCAAATGTGTTCCAACTTAATGATTAAGCAACTTAATAAAAACATACTTTTAGCAAAAATTAATGAAATTTAAATAAAGCCACCTATAAAAATTTATCCTACAGTCCTTTGCATTTTAAGGGGATCTTAACTACAGATAAACCTATATGTAATATGCATGTGTGTATGCACCTTTATTAAGTTACTCTCTCTCATGGAGTGTTTTTTTTACCTATTTAATATTTTTGGACATTGATATTAGGGGTGACAATGGGTCGGGTGGGTAGGCCCGGCCTGGTCAGCTCACCCCTAAAAACCTAGGTTCTGGATCAGGAAAAGTGGCCCAAGGGTTGTGCCAAGGCTGGGCCAAGGCTTGTGCCAAAGCCAGCCCTATTGGGCTTGACCTGGCCTCCTTTTCTTAATTTCTAATGCTTATAATATATTTGTAATTGAACTATGATCATAATATTATCATCTCAATGGTACTTAGATTTCATATATATGACTTTGATTTTTTTTTTTTGACATGTATACCAAGAATATTATTTTTTTTAATTTAATATATATCTAATTATTACAAGATATTTAATAATATATCATGTGACATATTTTTTATATTTTTTAATTTTAGAGAATAATATTTACTAATACTTTGTTTGCTAATATTATTTAAAAATAAATGATTTTAAAAATAAAAAATTAATTAGAAAAAATATAAACTATATAAACAAATCATTATTTGTTTTTCTTTTTTGCACTTTTAGTTTTTCCAAATTTTTAAAATAGGACGCAGTTTGTATAGAGCCTAGGCTTTAAACAATCAAATTAGAGCCTACATTCAAATAGTATCGAGAAATGTGGTTTCACTACTGGAAATCTTTGTGAAAGCCTTAAAATATATTTTTATATTTATTTATAAAGTTTAAAGTTTCAAAAATAGGGTAGATTGACAGATATATGAAAACTTGAAAATCTTGAATATTGACGGTTCAAGAATGCGTTACAAAATACACCATTTCCAAAACTTGAAATCTATTTTTTTTTCATATCCATGCATCTTGACGTCGAGTTGATCAATTTGAAGATATTTGGGCATCAAATCAACCTCTTTTGAAATTTTTGAGGTTGGCTCAAATTTGATTGTTTAGAGCCTTGGCTCTATATAAACTTTCCCTTTAAAATAAGGGAAAGTTTATATAGAGCCAAGGCTATAAACAATCAAATTTGAAACCTACTACTAAAAAGTTTACTAGTAAGAGGTTGTTTGAATACGACCCAAATACTTAC